CTTTGAAATCTGCTAGGGCTCATATATAGTACAAATTAAAAAGTACAAAATATTAATCGTTGTTGTTGCGTTTGGTGCGTCGATATTTATAGTTAATATATACGAATTGAAATGTTGTTAGGAACATGGGTTGGGACGGAGCGCTAGCGAATGAGTCGTACAGTTGGGTAGAAGCCAAAGTAGCGTTTCAGCCGCCGATGGGGCCGTGGCAAACTGCCGTGAGAGATGGTTTATTGGAGGTTGGGATCACCCCTAACAATGGTTTCACGTATGATCATATCAACGGCACCAAATTCGGCGGTACCATTTTTGACCGGAATGGCCATAGACACACCGCCGCCGATCTGCTAGAGTACGCAGACCCTAACGGTATTACCGTCCTTTTGCATGCAACCGTCCACAAGATCTTGTTTCGGACTCGAGGTACTTAATGTAGTAATATGTACTAAGGCTAGAAAAATTAATATACATACAAATGTAGTTGGATTTCTTATATTATACTAGTATAATATTATTAAGGTGTTAAAATTTGTTTATATATATTTTTCCAAAAGGAACATTTCACATAAAAAAGTCTTAATTCTGATATTTGAAAAACCAAGATAAGAAATTAAATATAATACTGTTAACGTTAATCATTATCGTCAATATACTTTTAAGCTCATTTTAAAACATAAAGCATGATCAATGGTGGGTGTTAGTGTTGGGGTGCTAAGTATTTTTTATTATATAATAAATGCTAAAAATTACCAACCCACTTTTTTAGGTTCTAGAAAGCTAAAATTAGCAATCTATTTTTGAGGTTCTAAGACTATTTAATTGTTTTTACTCCATTAACAACTCATTAAAAAACCCACTAACATCCATCATTGATCATGTTCAGATCTTATAATTTTTTTTTTCTTAAAATTATCTATCATTTTCATTATATATCTCATTTAGATCTTCTTGGTTCATCACAATTTTTTTCTAATTCCTTTTAACAATGATTAGCTAGCTAACTATCAAATCTTCAATTAATTTACACGTTTAAGGCACCACAAAGCCAATAGCAAACGGAGTTGTGTACCGAGACCGGACCGGTCACGCCCACCGAGCTTACCTAAAGGAAGGCTCATTGAATGAGATCATCGTATCGGCCGGAACCCTAGGGAGCCCACAACTCCTTATGCTAAGCGGTGTCGGTCCATCAGCTCAATTACAGGCCCAAAACATCACGGTGGTGATGGACCAGCCTCATGTAGGTCAAGGCATGTACGACAACCCTATGAACGCCGTGTTCATCCCTTCCCCGGTCCCCGTAGAGGTCTCACTCATCGAGGTTGTTGGAATTACCGGCGAAGGAACCTACGTGGAGGCAGCCGGTGGCGAAAATTTTGGCGGGGGTGGCGGTAGTGGATCCTCAACTAGAGACTACTATGCAATGTTTTCTCCCAAGGCAACATTGTTAGAGTCAAACACAGTGACCAAATTATCATCAGCCCAACCTTTTCAAGGAGGCTTCATTTTAGAGAAAGTAATGGGCCCAATATCCACTGGTCATTTGGAGCTCCGGACCAAAAACCCGAATGATAACCCGGTTGTTACTTTCAACTATTTCCAAAACCCTGACGACCTAAAACGTTGCGTTCGAGGGATCCAAACCATAGAGAGAGTCGTGCAATCTAAAGCGTTTGCGAGGTATAAATACGCTGATATGTCTTTTGAGTATTTGCTTAACCTCACGGCGAGTACTCCGGTCAATCTAAGGCCGCGTCGTAGCGGTCCAGGAGCCTCGTTGCCTCCATCCGCTGAGGAATTTTGCCAACATACGGTTACAACAATTTGGCATTACCATGGAGGATGTGTTGTGGGTAGAGTGGTCGATGGGGATTATATGGTTATTGGTATCGACCGGCTTAGAGTCATTGATATGTCGACCGTTGGTTATTGTCCCGGGACAAACCCTCAAGCAACCGTTATGATGCTTGGCAGGTGAAAGAAACCATTCTTTTTTATTATTTTGTTAATCATGTTTATATTTTTGACTAACGGCTAATGATTGGCATGCTGCATGCAGGTATATGGGTGTGAAGATCTTGAGAGAGAGACTAACCAAGAAGTAGGGTTTAAAATTCGGATCAGGATTTTGTGAAAACGTTGTTAAAAATTGAAATGAATGAAGATCTTATTGATCAATGTTTTCAATAGCTGGTTACATA